ACTGTACTCCTTTTAGCCATTTATAATACATTCTTAAATATAGAGTCCTAATGCCATCTTTACAACAGAAGAGTCTTGGCAATGCATAATACATTTAGAAACCAAGACTGAGAATCTTTGCTGCAGTCATTATTTTCAATCCCATGAGCTCCTAGACATTCCACTTGGCAAATTTCTGTCTCCACTTTCTTCACACTTGGGATCAGAAAGACCCACAAAACCAGTGCGGGGAGCTCCCCCTTCTGGTTCAGGAGCTGTGAAGGACAGAGGATGTTTTCATTTCAGCACTGATACCCACTGACTAAATTTGCAAAGAGAGGGATACTAACAGATTCACTTCATAAATGTAATCTTATTTGACTAAGAAGCAAAAGGGTAGCAATGTTTTGAAATAATAAACACCAAGGGTGGTTGATTTGGGTTTTTTTTTTCAAAGGATGGCTCACATTTAGACATGTACAAATACAACTGTTAACTTATGGAGACTGATCAATCTTTAGCACTAACTCCTGAAGCTCTTTGCAAGTCAACAAAGTCAGGAACTCTTAAATATTTTAAAACAGCATTTCATGAAAACCCCATCATGACCCCCTCCAAAATCTAGCTATCCCTGTAAGTACTGTAATGTCATTCCAACTTGCCCTTGGGAGCTAACCACTGGCAACATGATTTTTTCTGTTCTAAACCAAGACAGCCAATAGGTAAGCGATTAACAAGTAAACATGCATTTATAAATAAATATCTAAATTGTATTATTATCGTTGTTTAATTAATACACACTGCCAAAAGAACTGACAGACAAGGATGCATATCTAAGCTGTACAGAGATTATAAATGTTTGAAATGTAAGCTTTTGCGCCTCTCAAATCTCTTCTTTAGGGCCTTTCCGGAAAATCAATTTTTTTAGTGTGATAAATGTGTAGCGGTTTTTCATTTGTTGCATGGGATCCAGACATTTTCCCTTAAGGAAGCAATTCTGTTTCGGTAATGTCACAGTTTCCCCCGCATTCAAGCCACAATATATTGCTGCTTGGAGGATGTAGCTCTTTTCCCAGTTAGCAGGCTGCAACAGACTGCAGTCTTGAATATGATTCACGGGCACCTATTACGTAGAATCCATGACATCACTGATGACAGGGAGAACTACCATTATGTTTCTGCCATGCTATGATTTGGACTCTAAATCCTTGAAAGTGGCTTCTTTCAGGAGCTGAAGTTTACAAGTATGGAAAAACCTTGTTTGCTTCATGCTGCCTCTTTCTCAGTCAGCAAGTCTTCAAATTTTGCCTTGAGATTCCAGCAAGAATCCTTGCAAAGATTAAACTGAGATGGGAGTTGTATAATCCTGTGCTGTTACCCCCTCTGCAGGCTTAACACATTCTCTCTGTCTCTGCTAAATATCTTACTATATTGCACTTAATAGGGAATGACATAATTGCATAATTAAGGGAAAGGGTCATATATCTGTGGCAGAGTATCTGTTTTCCCTAGTTTTGCCTACATGGTGATCAAATTGCTATCATTCTATCAATACAGGTGCACTGACATATGTGTCATGTGTAGAATGCAATGTACTACTGTACTTTAAAAAAAAGATCATATTACTTGAGTACTATTATAGGACTATGCCTTATTTTCATTGGCCAGTATCAGGAATTGAAACTTTATCAGCCATGTTTGATATTTATATAATATAAATAAATAAATATAAAGGGGGTAAAGAAATATTTACTATATATGTGGGCACACTTAATAATCTCCTTTCCTGAAATAGCTTCCTTTTCAAGGATACACCAAGATTGGCTGAAGGAGTCTTGCTTCATACAAGATGGGATTCATAATAAAGCAGTGGGATACTGTATAAAAATGGCAGTCTTAATTCAATTCGTTCAATGGAAAATTAAGCTACATTAATTTGCTTGTCTTCTAATCAATGTGAACAAAATACTTTCAAGACTTCAAGCAAAATACAATGCAAGCAAAACACTATTAAAATTATAGAGTCAGGGCAAAATAATTTTATATAATTGTGGCCCTGATTGATTTTTTAATGGAGCATCCACTTGTTCTCTGACCCCGGTGGACTTTCACTGCATTTTGGTTCTACACAGCAAATTCATTACACCAAACCTAGCTCCCCCGTGCCTTTCATAATTAGAGCAAGCAAATTTGAGATTAAGTTATTTGTGTGTCTAACAGTACAGGAAGAAGCAAAAACAGAAGTATTTCTAAAAACAAGCTACTGTCTAAATTGAAATGTTCTACTGGATCCCTAATAAATTTTTCAAGGATTGCCCAAAGTTTCAGCCACAGAATTTTTTTATTATACTGTTTTACACTCCTTGCTTCTCCTAACAGCAGTAAGTTTCAAGGCAGCCCTTTTAGATGGTCAGTTTCCTTGTGAGGAGCCATTTAAAGTCCCCTTAATTATATACTATATTTATTCCAGGCAGTTTACAATGGGTTGGATCTTGACATATCTTTTTTCTGATTTGTTCTTTTTAGAATAATAATGAGCTATTGTCAACACTGTTATTTTTCTTAAACAATAATCACGCAATAAAACAAAAGAGAAAAACATGAGAATATAACAATCATAGGCAATTTACATTGGTAAACACATTAGTAACTGGCAATGCAGGAAGTGGGTTGGAAAGAAACTCCCAACTTCAAAGGAAAAGGGAACAAGTAGCATAGGAGATCTCAAGACCAACACCTCCCCTATAATCATGCAGGCCCAGTGAATGTATCACTAAAGTAATTATTCCAGCTGGAATATGCTTGGTGCAGGAACAAAATGTGGGAGTCAATTCATGTAAAATTATCCATATATATATATATATATATATATATATATATATATATATAGTTAAGATAGATATGTAACGTATGAGTGAAGTATGTATTTTTTTTTGGGGGGGGGAATCACATGCTTATGGCATGATCATACCTAGCTTGAGCATAATCCAAGTTTGTGAAATGTTCTTGAGAGATGTGTCATTAAGTTCATATGTTACATTAGTGCATAATAAATACAGTGCACAACAAATATACCATCACTTATTAAAATATATGTTATGATGGATTATTGCTTCTGTTCCTTGGGTTTACACAATAGTAGGAATAAAGGTACAAGGTAGTGATCCTTACCAGGGATTGGCTATCAAGATCTCTCTCTTTAAATATAGGGCTAGGGAACATAGATGTTATTGAACTCCGCAACTCCAATCAGCCACGGTGAGGAACGATGAGAGTTGCAGCTTAGCAACATCTGGAGAACCACAGATTCCCCCACCTCTGTTTTAAACTGAGGACATGAATCTAATTTTACTGTTGAGGGTATGTTTACAATTAGCCCAATTTATATTTCCAGAATCAGAAATAAAAAAAGCATGCCTATTCGTGCCTGCATTAGAAAGCCATGAGAAGCAAACTGTTTCTTCTGTTGCTTTATCAGGTTCCATCCTCTCTTTTTTTGTAACATTTGAAGCCATGCTAACAGAAAAGGAGGGGAATGTGTCTTGGCATATTTTCCCCGTCAGTTTATATTTCCCCTGAAAAGCCTCCCTGAAGACTGGCAGCTTGCTAAAAGTTTAAGCTCTAGGAGAGCACCCTATGAGGCATGAGGGCTGCTGTCAGAAGCAAACCATGCCCACCCCTCATGTACATAGAGGACTCTATGGATCCCAGCCCAAGAAACTACTTTATACTGGGAAGAATTTTCAAAACTACTGGCGGACATCCAGTGTAAAGTACTAAGAGTTTTCTGATCGAAACAAACAATGAAATGCGTAGACATGTGTAGTCCTGCTTATAAAATTATGCGCACATTTGTATTCCAAGGTAATTTAATGACGCAAATTAAAAAAGGGATCCGACTACAGTTCAACATGCAATCTAAACTGGAATAGCTTCATTAACGTCAATACTGCAGCACGCTGCAATTAGTCAGCGACCTATTTTCTATTAATATTTTTTCGAATTATAAATAGCCATCGTTGTTAGTGTTTAACTTCACTGCAAAGTAAAATGTTGTAGGAATAGTGGCAGCAATTTAGAATCAACTGTTGCATCATAAAGCTAATCAAGTTAATTGACTTCAATGTGATTTTGTAGTGCTCTGGAAGTGACAGACTGGAGTTGCAGGCCTGCGTTCAGATATAAGCATTTATGAGAATTAAATTAATGCTATTTGTTGCATGATTGTAGCTAGGAACTCTGGTACAGATGTCCATTATGCACAGCTCCTGCCTCATATAAGCCTCCTTATCCAATGCAATTACAGGTTATTCCAGGCACACATTTCTTTCTGTGGGCATAACTGCACTGAAAAGTTGGGGAAGTATGCATTAGCTAGGTACGTGGGGATGCATTTGGTTGGTTACTGGAAAACTGGGCTTATACAGCTGGTATTTGACAGAAGTAATTATATAAAAGCACGAGGATCTTAAATTTGAGGGGGAAATACTCCAGCAAGGAGTACTCACTAGTTATTTTATACCCAGCTATTTAATCTACACAACACTACAGGACAACAGGAAAAGGTTGATCTCCAGTGACAATATTTATTTCCAGCGAGGAGTTTCAAATTCAATTGAAGACACAGTGTAAAATCAACAAAAGTAGATACGCAAATGTTTTCAGGAAAAGATACAAAATTTATTCCAATTCCATATAAATATTAATGTTTTTGAAAGTGTCTAGACAATCAATTCTAGCACAGGTGTACTTATTACTCTAGTTGCCCCTGTAAAGAAGGGGGAGTGAGGATGACAAATCATGAAACAGATGCCTGGTTGCTATAACAGCCTCTGAATATAGTCAAATTATCCTAGCTGATGTCCAATATATATTCTGCTTTCTCCCATTAGTTACATGAGCTCTACAAACATATTTGTATCTGAGTCATTTGACTAAAAATGAACTCCAGTGGAATGTAAATTACCAAACGGAAAAAACCCCCCATCTCTATCAAGATTTAAGCAAAAGACCAAGTCTACCTCTCCTGTTCTTGCTTCATTCGTATTCTCTCCTCTTCTGAAGTAACAGCTTCCTGCACTTTTATTTTCTCAATCTTGTCATCTTTTCGATGTTTGCCAAACCTGTTAATAACAAAACAAAAGTTCTAACTTGTCAACATGAACCATAATTGTGTAGGCTTCTACTCTTCAAATAGAAAACTGTGTGCTCATTATAGAATGACACTCAAATGAAGGGGCGGGATGGAACGGCAAGGTAATCATCAAACAAATATCAGTCTGAACAGTTCATCCTCAGTGATGCTTATATTTATAGTAGCACTCCAGGTGAGATGTTTATTTTTAGATTAATACCTGTACCATTTTATTGCATGTCCTACTTAATTTACTCGTTAAGTGCAAGGCGTAGATATAGTTAAGCAGTGTGCATGGAGGTTAAATTACTCCATGAATGGAAGACATTCTTCTGCTTTGCCATATCCAGTGAGTGGGTGTGGTGGGTACCTTTCCCTTCACTTTTTTGGTTCTGTTCTTTACCGCCACTTCTCTTTTTGCCCCCCACTGCAATGGATGGAAGGGAATTAAGTACACCAGCTCCAAGGCCGGTTTCACTGAGGGCTCACTTTGGGACCAGAAGGCTTAGGATTGTGCAGATCTTCTGCCACCCTTGACACACATAGCCAGCACTGCAGACGTTTCCAAGGGTGCACCATGAGGTCTTCTGATGGCATATATGCTGTCACACTGGCAATCTCCCTCTTTAGCAGTGCATCAACATGTATGCCATATCCAAAGCCCCCACCCCAATAATGCTTTCTTGTTTTAAGCCTGCAGCCTAAGTTTAAATAATTAATAAATAAACTACAGCACAGCACTTCTGCATACTGAAACAAATCCACTAGCTCCTCCTTTCTTTTTATTTGTTGCATGTATAGATCACACATCAACCAAGTCCTCTGGGCTGCTTACAAACAGTTTAAAAAATCAAAATTCAAGAAAGAAAGAAAGATCTGGAATGCTGTGATTAACATATACAAAGCAAACTTTCCCACACTGCACATCATTTTTTAAAAAAAATAAATTCATTCACAGAAACTAATAAAAACAAAGTAACACACTCAGCAGTATTAACACTGCAGGTTCACAACGTAAGGTAAGAACAAAAAGCTTACACGGAAAATGGATCCAGGCAACTGGATGAATATGAATATCCAGGAGTGAATATTCACACGTGAGAGAAAAATGTTGCAACTACAGTCAACAACCAATTGACACGCAAGCATGCATTGCATCAAACCTGGAAGTGACTTTTAAAATGGTGGAAACTGCCCTAAAACAGCCCAGAAAGGGCAAAAAAGGTACAAAAACAGTATCTAGCAATCCCACAAGCCTTTGCAAGTGCAATCCCAGGAGCCCTTGCACTGAACATTGAAGCCTGAGGAGTTGGAGTTTGAACAAGGAGGTTTGGAGGGAGTGATTATGGTGGAGTTTGGTATCCAGTAAGTGCTGCTGATTTTTAAAGGGGTTTTCAATGGTTTCAAGAGGTTTACAGCATGTTTGCAGGCTTTTCCAATGGTGTTTCATATATGTGTGATTTCATGTAACCACACGGTGCCTCATAAAGTAATCCCCACGTAAATTGGGAGTTGTCTGTACAAAGGTTCAATTACTTCCCAACGAAATGGATGGAGGACGACAACATCATTGCCGATGAACAGGCGGGTTTTCGCCCTGGAAGATCTACCACAGACCAAATATTAACCTTGAATCACCTGGCGGAAAAGTATGCCGGCAAAGCCCCAAAGGTTCTTCATGTGGCTTTTATTGACCTTAAGCAGGCATTTGATCGAATCTCTAGAAAGCAGCTATGGACAAAACTGGCTGCTACAAAGATCGATCGTCGTCTCCTTCATCTGATTATCAGCCTCCATACAAACACCTTTCTGAGAATCAGGCTAGACAATAAAGGCCTAGTCTCCAACCCTGTTACCACCACTAGAGGGGTAAGACAGGGTTGTCTATTGGCCCCAGCATTGTTTAGCTTTTACATTAACTCACTGGTGACTCACATGGCCAATGATGCTTTCCACCCCCCCAAATTAGCAGGCCGATCTCTGAATGTTCTTCTGTATGCGGATGACGCCGCACTTCTTGCCAGATCCCCTATTGGACTGAGGAGAATGTTGCAAGCTCTACATGAATACTGTGATCAGCATGAGCTCCAACCCAACTATGCTAAGACCAAGATCATGGTCTTTTCTGCCCGACCGAGACTCCATCGATGGTCAATGAATGGGATCCCCCTAGAGCAGGTTAACTGCTTTAAATATCTGGGACAAGTAATACGGTCAAATAGGACTTTTCTGGCCCATAGAGACTATATAACAACTAATGCATCTAAAGCAGCCATCCAGATTCGATCTCTATATGCTAAGAATCAGGCTCAATCAGTGAAGATAGCTTTGAGACTCTTTCAAATGAAAGTCCTCCCCCTTCTTTTGGTGGGCATCTCTTTAGGCTCCCGCAGGGATTTTTTGAAACTGGACTCTATCCAAACACGATTCCTTAGAGCCATCCTTAGGATTCCCCCCTCGGTAGCGGGTGCGGTTATGAGATTAGAGGTCGGCTGGCAAGCTCTACGGTATGTGGCCTTGAAGACGAAGCTCTGGCTATGGCTCAAGCTTTGTTTTAAACCAGTGGGCATTGCCCCCTTGATATTGAGGGACGATTTCCAATCATCGTGGGAAAGGGAGGTCATTAACGAGGTTCAATCCTGCGGATTGTCTCACCTTTACTTTGAGTCTATGACATACAATCAAGCTAGAGCTGTGATCTCCCGGAGACTGAGTGACATTGCCAGACAAGAGGACATAGCCCAGGTAAAACCAGGGATGTTCCTAGGGGACCAGATTTATCGGACCATACCAGCCCCCTACCTTGCAGAAATCCACTATGTGGAATACCGCAGACTTCTTACAGTGGCTAGATTAAATGTCCTTGACTCTGCGATATTGTGGGGAAGGTACAGGGGAGTACCATACGCCCAGAGAACCTGTCATTGTGCCATGGGTGCGGTTGAGTCCACCGAACACATTCTCTTGATTTGCCCTTCTTATGCAGAGCTTAGACAAAATTTTATAGACCCACTCCTATGTCAATTTAGCTTCCTACCCGGAGAAAACCAGGTTTTACACTTGCTGAATAACGTCACTAGAGCTATACCTTCCTTGGTGGCCAAATTTCTTTTTTTAGCTTTTAAGCGTCGCAAGACTATAATTGACTGTATTGATATAGGGCTATCTGTTTAGCCCATTTTAGTGTTGGCTAAGTTCTAAAATCTTCCTGGATGTTTTAACTGTGTATTGACAAATGTACTTTTTTCTGACTGACGGTCGAATAAAAGGTTGATGATGATGAATTACTTTCCAACATCTAGAGGGCACCAGGTTGGGGGTACTTTGATCTAAAGAAAGAGCAAGTTGAGTCCTAGAGTGTAGTGGCAAGAGCAGGCATAGGCAAACTCAGCCTTTCAGATGTTAAGGGACTACAACTCCCATCATCCCTAGCTGTGGTCAGGGATGATGGGAATTGTAGTCTCAAAACATCTGAAGGGCCGAGTTTGCCTATGCCTGGGCTAGAGCGTTGAACCAGGATTTGGGAGACCAAGATTCAAGCCTTCAATCAGCCACAAAACACATCAGATGACGTTGGGCCTCTCAGCCTGGGGAGTGAAGAATTCCAGCCACAATTAAATGTCCAGCTTTGGTCTGAGGCAGCTGCATTACATGTCACTAAAACCAAAAGTCAGCTGGCCATTACCACCAAGCAGATAATCTGTTAAGAAAAAACTACTTCTGTCAAAATCCAGCTCCACATCAGAAAATGGGGGTGGGGGTGGGGAATTAGAGAACTCTAATTCACAGTAAGGAAAATACATCCAAGAGAAATGTTAAATGTCTTCTTCTCCCCAGATACTTCAAGATGTCATATTTTGCCCTGCTTAATGTATTTTTCAGTGCTAGTGAACAGCTTACCATTAAATATCAACAAACTGAATATGACACTCAGATTTTCTGAGTGTGTATGTGTTTCTCCCATTTATTGAGGTAGGCTTTACATTAACTTATAGATGGAAATAAAAACACAGCTTAGAGTTCCTGTATAATTGGACCGAAAGCAATTTTTATAGAATTATTTTTATGACAGATTGAAATAACGGTTGCAAATTAAAAATATCCTGCCTGTCCCAAAGTGTGAGAAAATGATGAGGGTGAGCGGATGAAATCCTCTTCACTAATTGCCAAGATACTCCAGGGTTGTTAATTTAACTCCCTCATTTTCCATTTGGAAAAAAGAGAAAAAAGGTCAGAGAGCACTCTGAGAAGATACCTGTGAGCTCTCCAAAACGATATGATGTCAAAGTCCTCAAGTCAACTAATTTGTGACAGTTGGGACAAGCATCATTCTATATGCAAAAATGATTCTCTTTACAAACATCCTAGAACATCTTCCCTCATGTCAGTGCATTCTATTGCTACCTTTTATTGTTGTTAGTCACCCTGAGCCCGGCTTCGGCTGGGGAGAGCGGGATATAAATAAATTTATTATTATTATTATTATTATTATTATTATTATTATTATTATTACCTAGATTGTGGCATCTTGCAGAATCCCTTGCAAAGCACTGTCTTGCAGAGCTGCTGGGGGAGGAACACATCACTCTTGCCAGAAATCTTAAGTGCTTGCTTCAGGTTTCTCCACTCCCATTCTTCCATCCATTTCGACTTTCCTCCCAATATCCCCCTCCGCACACTCCATCTGACTATTGAGGCAGACAGAGACCTGCAGGTCTACCACCCTGTCCTATGAGTACTACAAACCTATGACAGGACTTTTCAATGGAAATAGCATGGACTGGACAACTGGGAATGCTTGGAGAGTGGGTATCTCCCCCTGAAGATGAAAAACATGTCAGTCCTGGGACATTTCAAGTGTGACATGAAGGAAGTCCAGCATAAAACTTTAAAGAAATAAAACCAACTCAAACAAATACTGGGGGGGGGGGGAGGAAACGTAACCAATGCTTATTTCATGATGTCAAACAACAATGTGCTAAATTGCAT